GTCGGTGTCTACGTATTCTTTGGTCTCAGAGGGCTTTATCGCTGGGGATTTCCCGTCCACCGCGTGCATTTGTAATTTCAGTGTCCCACTTTTTGAGCGCACTATGTTGTCAGTGAGTAGAAGTTTAAATCGGTCATTCTGTGGTAAATCCAGCTTTTGGGTTTCATCATCGAGTACTTAAATGCGTGTTGCTACCATCCGACCGACGTATTTGATTTCTCTGGTGATTAGCCCAACAAAATCTTCGAAAGACATCTGCAGTAACCGAGTTTCAGTGATGTAAATTGGGGTGATTCGTACACTTCCATAGTACATATAATGTACTTTGATTAACATCTCCGGCTTGTGAATTTCCATCATCTTTAATTTGTCTGACACAACGAGCAACCTACCTTCCGCATGTGTGGGAACGAACTGGGAATATTTGTTCTGTTATGCAAATTAGCAATAATGCTAAAGATAGTGGCCAATCAGTTTATTTGTACTGAGCCGCCATGGTGTCTATCAAAATGAACAAGCCTTGCTACATTTTAATTTTGTTGTTGTTGACCTGTCAATCACGCCTTTGATAATTCCTGGGTTGTTGCCAACATTTTGAACAGATGAAGTAAATTTCAAAACAAACTGCCTGACCAATTGTAACGACTTATCAACATCTGACTGCAGTTCTTCGTGTAATCAAGGGGTGAAAGGGTGTAACAGTGCCTAACATCCCACCAAGACACCCTAAATATTCAGTACATCACACAAGATACCCTCAATATTTTTTCAGCACAACATCATCGTCATAATATTCTGCTTGCACACCCTCAATATCGACCAGAAGATCCCAAACATCACCCCCTAACATAATACCCCTCACATCCTATCGGAATACCCCTATTGTCCCATCAGAAAACCCTATTGTCCCATCCGAATGCCCCTACCATCCCATAGAATACCCCTATTGTCCCATCAGAATGCCCCTACCATCCCATAGAATAGAAGAGTATGCCTATTGTCCGATCAGAATACCCCTAACATCCCACAAGGCACCCTCCAGAACTACATTATAATCACACCATATATGCATATGAGTGCAGGACAGAGAGATAAATCTCAATTCTTATCTTTCTTTCAGGTATTAGACCCAAACATGGATTTGAGAACAGTCAAACACTTTATCTGGAAGAGTGGTGGTGATCTATCATTGCATTACAAGCAGAAACCAACATAACTTATTTTGTACAGTCTTTAAATTTAGCTTGCCGGAATGCATCCTGACCAACCCACCTAAGAAAATGCTATAAACCAAGTACAATGTGCTAATGTCACATCATTAGCTATACCATTGTTTTATAGGGGGGGCCTGGCCTGAACATGAGGGGCAGTTTCCCAGAGATTGTGTACATTTACCTATACTAGATTTTTGTGTAAATAATTGAAAACAAGTTTGTAACATTTGCTTTCTTATGTAGAACAACAAATCCTAGAAATGTACATGTATACTCTCTATATTTTTTTTATTTTTATTAATTTTAATTTGAAACCTAGTTGTTGGAAAGAAATGAGTGAGATACAGGTTTGATCTACTATTTGAATATCTGTTTTATAATGTTTATTTAAATAATATGTAAATTGAATTGAAAATCTCAACACATATTTTACAATATTATGAAATAATATCATACTGTTGAAGAAAAGAAATAAAACTAATATAATATTACATTGAACTTTCGTGATTAATTTTTCCTTTAATCGAAATGTTTTGCTAAAAAGTTGTATTGTTACAACCGTTTAAGGAAGCGAGACTATTATTTGCATACTTATTTTCATCTT